GGTTGGACGCAACCGCTACTAGGTTGGAGGCCATCGCTATTAGGGGGAGGCCATCACTATTGGGTTGGTGGCCATCGCTACTAGGTTGGACGCAACCGCTACTAGGTTGGAGGCCATCGCGATTAGGGGAGGCCATCACTATTAGGTTGGAGGCCATCGCTATTAGGTTGGAGGCCATCTCTTTTAGGTTTGAGGCCATCGCTATTAGGTTGGAGGCCATCGCTCTTAGGTTGGAGGCCATCACTATTAGGTTGGAGGCCCTCGGGAGGCCATCCCTATTAGGTTGAGGCGGATAAAGTCGAGTTCCGCAACTGCGCAGGATTCCGCAACTAGGATTCCGCAACTTGGTCGGATTCCGCAACTGAGATTTCACAACTAGGATTCCGAAACTAGGATTCCGCAACTAGGATTCCAAAACTAGGATTCCGCAACTGTCAAGATTCCGCAACTAGGATTCCGCAACTAGGATTCTGCAACTGGGATTCCGCAACTAGGATTCCGCAACTAGGACTTCGCAACTAGGATTCCGAAACTAGGACTAGGATTCCGCAACTGTCAAGACTCCGCAACTAGGATTCCGCAACTAGGATTCCGCAACTAGGACTCCGCAACTGGGATTCCGCAAATAGGATTTCGCAACTCGGAGTCCGAAACTAGGATTCCGCAACTGTCAAGATTCCGCAACTAGGATTCTGCAACTGGGATTCCGCAACTGGCGTTCCGCAACTAGGATTCCGCAACATTGTGGACTCCCTCACTAGGATTCCGCAACTTTGTGAATGATGAGGGGGTTGGCGTGATGTCGAGATCACACGATGGGGACAAGGGGGGGTTGGGGGGTGGGGGGGTTGGGTGGGGGGCTAATGACGTTGGTTTGGATGTGCTTCGAAGGTGATGTCACAGGCACACACGCTGTCGCATGATGTGGAGATCACCAGTTGCAAGTTTCAGAAGGCAAGTTGCAGAATCTGACTTTCCGGCTTCAGAATACCAGTTGCAGAATCTGACTTTCCAGTTTCAGAATACAAGTTTCAGAATCCCAGTTTCAGATTCCTAGTTTCAGAACCCCAGTTTCAGAATCCTAGTTTCAGAACCCCAGTTTCAGAATACCAGTTTCAGAATCCAAGTTTCAGAACCCTAGTTTCAGAACCCCAGTTTCAGAACCCTAGTTTCAGAATCCGACCGATTAGTTTCCGAATCCGGCTCTAACCAGGTTGAGGCCATCGCTCTTTGGTGGGAGGCCATCGCTTTTAGGTTGGAGGCCATCGCTCTTAGGTTGGAGGCCATCGCTATTAGGGGGAGGCCATCGCTATTGCATTAAAGCCAATCACTATTAGGTTGGAGGTCATCGCTATTAGGGGGAGGCCATCGCTCTTAGGTTGGAGGCCATCGCTTTTGGATTGGAGGCCATCGCTTTTAAGTTGGAGGCCATCGCTATTAGGGGGAGGCCATCGCTTTTAGGTTGGAGGCCATCACTGTTAGGTTTGAGGCCATCGCTATTAGGGGGAGGCCATCGCTCTTAGGTTGGAGGCCATCGCCTTTAAGTTGGAGGCCATCTCTCTTAGGTTGGAGGCCATCGCTATTAGGGGGAGGCCATCGCTATTA